ATGTCACATGCCAAGGACATACATGAACCCATTAAACTCCGTCACTACGACAAACAACGTGTTCGACATCCAACGTGAATTACAAGTCTCAGAACATCTCCCCAGGTGTGTTGTCTTTCAGACGGGCTTCTATTAATGCTCTCTCCGGTAATTGAAAGTATCACGCACAGAAGCCCCTCCAGATCCGAGTTCCTGTTGTGTAATGTCATCACTGTCAGCATCACTCGTTCTGATATTTATCATGGCGGGATACATGATTCGAAAACCGGTTCATGTTAAAATAGTCGTAAACCACATCGCAGACAAATGCAATGACGTCAGGTCAAGTCAACCTTTAAGTATACATTCCATTAAATGTTTTTGTTCCATGGACTTTTCTCGGAGGGGAGTTTTAACTGATATTCTAGCACGACATTGTGTGATACTCGATTCTGATTGGCTGAGAGCTCATCAAAACTGTACTTAAATGGCAGTTTAAGACCGCTAATTAAAGTGACCGATTCACCGCGTATGAATACAATGAACTCGTTGACCCTTTTGTTTGCAAACAAACATGTCGGACATCGGCGATTTCTACCTCGGCAGCATCTTTGGTGTTTTCGAGACCGCTAAATGTTTCTAGGGGTCTTAAATTGACGATAAAGAACCGCAAAATTGAAAACAAAGACGCTTTATCTTCTAAATATAATTTGTTTTATCCAACAACAAAAACACAGCAACAAAAAACCCAATCATTTGCTTTGTTTTGACTAAACAAATCTCTCTATGCAATGAAGCAAAATTGATTTGACGGTTTCAAAAATCTTTTTGAAGAACATCATCTATTGTTCAGAGTTTTTTCACCGATTGTTTTGGTTTCCATATCAGGTATGAAGGCTCAGTAGGCCTACGCATGTCATTAGCGTGTTTTGACGACTAACATGCATTGACTAAACCATTACTTCAACCCCCAGTTGTAAGGATCACATTCGGTGTATCGCATTATTCGGTGTATAAGTCACTATCATGTAACTCACTGTTTGTAAGATTTCAACGATGTGTACTCGCCGTCCTTTCGACGGCACGTAACTGAAAACTAGATTTCACCAAAACGTTACAACGTTATCAAAACCTCACTTGGCTGACCTTTGGTGGGGTTAGCATGGGTGTGATGCCTGTACTATCTCTGATTAAATCCTTCACATACATCGCCATCGTGTAACATTTTCGTGCTTGTTTCATATTAACCACCACCATTTGTGTTTATTTTGCACGGTGGTTAATATTTAAATTATCATGCAGAAACAAAACATGTTAATTTGACGTCAGACCCCATGGTATATACGACAAACCCGTGAAGACCAATTCCAACCCGGATGTTCACGGGGAGGCCTGGTTGGTAGACCTACCAAACAGAAACCAATATGTCAAAGAATTAGACACGGTGTAGAATGTGAATCCTTGTAGCCTTTGGATACAACTGAGAGTTCGAAAGCCCTTAAAGCCTTCGTTAATAAACCCTTCGTCTTCCCTTCTTCTGTTGATACATCACTCTTCAAACTTCTGTCTTCACCTTTCTATGACACAGCAAGTGTTAACAATTTTTCAGTTTTCAAGTAAATGTTTTCTTTCTTTATGGTTGAACGCCGCAAGCAGGAGATATGACAGCCGTCCTTAAATAATGCAGTCTGGGTCGGACAATCTCAAAAACATGTTGCAGCAAACACGTGACAACAATCACATAACATACATTTTTGAAATGTTAAACGAACAATAGGTGAAACCAAATTGTGACATTAAAAATGTCGGCCTGACAACTTGTTCTGTCACCTCTCACAGACTATCCAGCCCGCCTAGATCCTTTTAAAAACATTTTGCATCCAAAATAACCAAATTTCGGCTGCATGGATCCCATCTTCACCTTCTCACTCCGCCGATTTTTAAATTACGTAACCTGAGTCTCTTGTAAAGTTTTTACAACAATAATTGCTGCTATCGCTGCCGTGTCATGAAATGTGCAATTTCTCTTGCTCAGATAACATGTTTATAAATAACGTTGGGCGGAGGGCGATAGCGAGGCTGGGCGTGGGGTCAAGGTGTCATCAAATATGGCTCTGTGACCCAACGCTCGAGTAACCTGACTCGCCGACAGCGCGACATCAGATGAAATGCCACGAGAGTGTGGATTGTGTAGCTAGAACTAATCATGAAGCCTGATAGCCGACAAACACAGATGTTTTTGTTTCGTGACATGCAAACTCGAGGGGCGGTCATGTCAGGCATGCATGATTTGTTAGTGCATACTCGTTAACATATTCGGGGAGGTGGGGTAGCCTATAAGGCGTTCGCTCGTTACCCGGGTTCGATTCCCCACATGGGCACAATGTGTGAATCCTATTTTTGGTGTCCCCCGCCGTGATATTGCGGGAATATTGCTAAAAGCGGCGTAAAACTAAACTCACTTACTCACTTAGGCATTCTTAGGCTTTCTTTTGTAAAACTTGGAGAAAATCTAAGCATATGTTCATGCCGCTTGTAGCAATATTCCAGCAATACCACGACATGAGACACCAAACCGAATTGTGCCCTCATTGTACCCATGTTGAGAATCGAACCCGGGCCTTTGGCGTGGCTGACCTCAAGGCTACTCCTTCTTTTATGCTCCATTCATGCCATAAATAATAGAATAGCTAAAGTAAGAGTGAGTATGTGAGTGAGTTTAGTTTTACGCCGCTTTTAGCACTATTCCAACAATATCATGGCGGAGGACACCAGAAATGGGCTTCACACATTGTACCCATGTGGGGAATCGAACCCGGGTCTTCGGCGTGACGAGCGAACGCCTTAACCACTTGGCTGCCCCACCGCCCTGCTAATGTAAGAAGGAACAAATGGCTAGTCATCAACCATTTTAGCATGTAGCCTAGTGGTTAGAGCGTTCGCTCGTCACGGCGAACACCCGGGTTCGAATCCCCACATGGGTACAATGTGTGAAGCCCATTTCTGGTGTCCCCCGCTGTGATATTGCTGGCATATTGCTAAAAGCGGCGTTAAACCATACTCACTCATGTGTGATAATTTTCTAACCATTATTACAAAGGCTACTTCCTTTTTTTTGCTCCGTTCAGCTATTCTTGTGTGCTTGAACATGCCAGATGTAATGATAGAAAGAAACTTCTGATAATGTTCGAACCATTATCCCCATTATCGAAGATTTCCCCAACTTAAACATTTTCTTGAGGTAAAAGAGGACTCTGTCTACCACCTCCTCTTAAACGTTCTACTTTCCGTGAACTTGTGCAAGTCTTTATCTGTAGATATGGAAACGTCAACAATAGGAGCCCATAGGAATATGGCAACCAATAGCGGTTATGCAAACAAACAGTGATATGAATGTTGTCACAGTTGTCAGCATCCCCTGATAGGACGAACATTGTCTTGGTTAAATTGTCTTATAATTCGGTCTTTATAGCTCAGATCGATAGATCGATCATCAAAATGTGTGTTCGCTGTAACCATCGTGATTGCTGAGGAAATCAATATGTGATACACTGAAACACCTATGACAGAGCTTGTTTCCTGTGAACTCTTCTATACCAAAACAAACAAAGTCAAAACTTCACAGAAAAGACCTTGAAAACTTAGTTCATCGAATACGTGAAACTACCCACCCTGAAACTGATTGTGTTGTCATTCACATCCCTTGTGAACACTTTCAGACCATATTTTACGAGTAATTCAATGCTTCATGTTAGAACGGCGATCAATACTAAGGTGCTATGTGTCGCCTTCAGATGGTTCCGGGTTCTTGTGGTGAAACATCTCTCAGCCCCAGTTTGTTGTTTAGCGCCGCTCTCGGCAATATCCCAGGTATATGACGGCGGCCTGTATATACTCGAGTCTGGACCAGGCAATCCGGTGATTGATATTAACAGCGTTGATCTACGCACTCTGGGATCTACGTGTATTTATAGATTTATTCTAATTCCGTACGATTCGTGTTTATCCAGTACGAGGATTAACACAATTTGCTTAGAGGCTTTTTACATCTAAAAAGCATAAAATATCAATATGTTTAAATAATTGTTTAAAACTCTATTTTAATGGATTTCGTAGTTGTGTTCATAACATCAGTTGAGCGGGTACCGTTGAGCGTTACTTGTGCCCTCAAATGGCATGAGTTCATTGAGGTGCACCGGTGATGATTTCATTGACAGCCATTAAACTCCATCTGCATTAACGGAAATAATAAAAAGAGTCACCAGACTTGCAATCAGTGCATGTATGGTAACCCGTCTTTGCACGATATGGATAGGGATTTGCTCAGTCCTATTGATGTCATCCCCACAGCACAGCCGATTCACCGTCAAATGTCGATCGTCAACCGCGCGTGATTGACGGTACCCAAAACGTATTAGCTAAACTAAACTATATGTGTGTGTTCGCTACTGTGTGCGCAACGTGCAAACTGTCGGATGTGTTAAGGGTTTACGTTTTGCTGAAATAAACGCCCTTCCATGTCTCTCAACAGTTACCTTTCCTGCATGACAACGGTACAAGAATCTGTATCAAAACGTCGTACTCACGAAATAAATGGTTATCCAGCTGGTCAATATAAACACTTATCTTTGTTCTGATGTTTGGTATGAACATGAATATTATCCCCTACTTTTCTAGGCGTATTGTATGTTCTCTGTATCTTAGGATTCTGGCTTTCGGGATTTCTCTATGCACTGTGATTCACGACTGAAAATGAATTATGGTGCGATAGCATTGAGACAAAATGGTATCTTTACAGTTTTCAAGATTGTAGTGGTGGTGGGGTAGTCTAGTGGTTAAAGCGTTAGATCGTCACGCCGAAGACCCGGGTTCGATTCCCCACATGGGTACAATTTGTGAAGCCCATTTCTGGTGTCCCCCGCCGTGATATTGCTGGAATATTGCTAAAAGCGGCGTAAAACTTAGTTTACTTCAAGATTGAAGCGCAATAATGTTTACTGATATTACTTGTTTAACTTTAGATACGTACAACGCCGCCCTTCTGAAGAATACAACGCAGAGTTCGGTAATGACCATCTACACTCAGCTCCACAGTGGGCTAGGGGTGGACGGAGGAGACACAGAGTGGGCACAGGTCATTCACAATTGTTCCACGACCAAAGAAGAAACGAACTCCTCCTGGAAAGTCACCTTTGACGCTGAGAAGCCCATCTACGCCATCAACATCACGACGTCATATGGTAAGGAGCTACCATTATCATCTCACAAACACAGGTTACAATAATGTGTGTTGCGTTGTCTCAACTCGGATGTGTCGAATACCAGGCACACACCAGTCCGAGCAAACTCTATCTTAAATGTCACTATTCCAACCCACATGTTTCCAAATGGATGTGTCGAATATCCGACACAGTGGAACTCACCAGTCCCAGCACACTCTATTTTGTGACCAAAAATACGTTCTATCTCGAACTCGGAATCATGAAAAAACCTGTATCGCTTTTAGTAGCTTAAAGACTGTGTGAAACATCAAAGACAGGAAACTTTTGTTGATCTTCAAGATCCTCAAGAGTTTAAGACAACGGGGATATGTGTGTTTCTCTGGCCTATCATCGAATCATCAACCAATCTAAACTAAGATTTTTAAAAGACACGTGAAATATGCAATATGCAAATGTTCAGCCCTAATAAAACATTGGGTTTTCATCTGTTACAGAGTACCCCCTTGGTGACTTTGTCGTGGAATTTACGTCTTGCCTTAACGGTGGTTGTGATTACATTCCCTGCTACCAGACTAACAAAACTGTGCCACCAGGGGAAACAATCCAGATACAATGTGATCCTACAGGTGGAACAACTGGAGGAACTTATGCTAAAAAGATTCGCATCCGATTATTGGGCAGTTTGAAGAGGCGACTTTCCGTGTGTGAAGTGGAGGTGTATTCCACTGAAGGTATGTGTCAAATGTCAGTTTGATGTGGGGATGAAGTCGACTGCATGTATGTGTCCAGTGTCAGTGTAAGGTGAGCTCCTTGTGTAGTGTCACTTGTGTACCCCTGTGCAGATCGATGCTCATGCTGTTGATGACTAGATTGTCTGGTCGATTTTACACACCTCCGCAATAGAGCTGGAATATTGCTGGGTGCAGCGTAAAACTAAACGGTGGCGGTTCTCTCCAGCGCGGTGGCCGTTTTCTCGATTTTTTGGGAGTCCGTTTTCACTGTGGTCCGTTTTCTCCGTATCCCAACTAAACTCACTCACGTATGATAATCACTTAAGATGTTTACAGGCTGAATATTCCGAACTTGCTATTGTTGTCTTTTATTTTGTAATTCAGCTATGGCGCACAACATTGCCTTGAACCAGGCTACACATCAGAGCTCAGTGCAGGACACGACATTTTCAAGGGCCGGCTGGCTCGCTGTGGACGGGAACGATAACCAGAACGAGTCGTATTGCAGCGCAACCAGGAACACTAGCGACCCCTGGTGGCAAGTTGACCTGGAATCGGAGAAAAAGATTGAATTACTGGCTATTCATGGTACGAAGCCTCACATTGGTTACTTAATTGTTTCAGAAGTTGTCCAAACATATGTAATTGTGATACCTATTCATTACTGGTGTGAAACGAGTATGTTCCTACAGAACATCTGTATTGGAAAAGTAAAAAGGGTTTTATATATTACAGTAACCTGTGTTTAGACAACATAAATCAAATTGGTATTATTTCACTTTAAGATTGATTCTGTTTGAAGTGTAAATGTACATCCTTACTATACCAGTGCACATTTTGAAAGAATAAGTATGTTTTAGAAGTAGGTCTATACTAACTTGGGGCGCTGGGGTAGCCTAGTGGTTAAAGCATTCGCTCGTCACGCTAAAGACCCGGGTTCGATTCCTCACATGGGTACAATGTGTGAAGCCCATTTCTGGTGTCTCTCGCCGTGATATTGCTGGAATATTGCTAAAAGCGGCGTAAAGCCATACTCAGTCAGTCACTCACTATTACTAACTTGAAACCTTAAATCGTGCTCAGTCAATATCTTAAAATATGAAGAATATATGGAACGAAACGCAGAGTGTAAAATTCATAAGAAACCTTCTCTCTTGCAGGTCATGCCCTAGAAAACGTCACAGTGTACGTCGGGGTTGATTGTTGGCCTGATCAAGTTTGCTACAACGTATGTGGAGAACGCACAGAGATGGGGGATCACTTCTACCTGACTTGCGGCGCCAACACTACTGCAAGATACGTTAAAATTGCTCTGAAGAAAGATGGCATATTAACTCTGTGTGACGTCCAAGTTATGGTATATAATGGTTGGTATTTCAACATGTACACTGAAACCTTGTTTATCCTGTAATATGCAATGTAATCGTTCGGATTAACAAATTTCGTATTAACGAGTCTTTGATACACGGTAATTTATAACAGTAATTTATCGTGCACATGGGTTGCTGAAGACCCAATTGTACCCTGATCATCACGGGTACAGCCCTTATATAGGTGGTGGACGCTTGGTATAGGAGTTTTGTAAAAAACTCAACTGATCTTTAATACCTAATATTGGTTATGAGTGAGTTTTTTTCAGTGAGTGAGTGAGTATGCTTTTACACCGCTAATGCCCCTTTCAGAACCGTCTAAACTTCACAACGTTGCAATGTTAATCAAGCATGTCCAGTGAGTCAAACTATTTTCCTAGATGTTCCTGGAACAAAGGATATATTTTACAGAATTTTCTTTGTGACATTATTTTCAGCTTTTTGTGCTAAATAATTATGCCCGCGCATTCAAACACTGCTTAACCGCAAATGTTGTTCTTTATGCAATTGTGATTTAACCACGATGGTTAAAGCTTACTACTGCTCTCGAAGTAGTAATTATGTGATGTTAGATATTGGTCGGCGTAAGTGAAGATATCTAAGGTTGTAAACATTTAGAAAACGCGGTATTAAATCACTGGATTATGGGTAACTCGATTGTTAACAGGCCGCCGACCGACAGTCTTGTTATATAAGTTACAAACACTCATTATGCAAATAGTTTGAGTGGAATGGACTGCCGGTAACTATAGGACAGGACATGGGAACACTGATGACATTATGATTTTCAGTTACTCATTCTCATAAGGGGCGGTGGGGTAGCCCAGTGGTTAAAGCGTTCGCTCGTCACGCCGAAACCCGGGTTCGATACCCCACATGGGTACAATGTGTGAAGCCCATTTCTGGTGTCCCCCGCCATGATATTGCTGGAATATTGATGAAGGGGCGTAAAACCACACTCACTCAATCCCATAATTTTCAAAAATAGTTTTCCTTGCATAGGAATAATTGATACTGGTTATACTGGAACGTTGACGTTATGGTCAACGTTGACGTTTGCTGGTGAATTTCGACGTGGTGTTGAAGTAGTGTATTTATTTGCAGATCCCACTACGACAGCCCAGACAACTACGACTACATCATCAACTGACAATGTAACCTATGCAGCGACAACCACGGATACAGATACTACCGACAACACTTGGACAACACCAAGCTACAACGAAACCACTTCACCTCCGACAACCAACACAAGCTACAACGCAACATTTGCCAGTGAGACAACGTCCGCAAGTAACAACGCAACCACTATATACGAGACAACGACCCAAAGCAACAACGCAACTACCACAAATGAGATAACGACCCCAAGCAGCAACGCAACCACAACACATGAGATAACGACTGAAAAGAACAACGCAACCACAACACACGTGACAACGACCCAAGGCAACAACGCAACCACAACACGCGAGACAACGACCCAAGGCAACAACGCAACCACAACACTCGAGACAACGACCCAAGGCAACAACACCACCACCGTGAATGAGACAACACCCCGCAGCAAGAACGATGAAACGACCCCGAAGAACAATGAAACCGATTCAGCTGCGACAACGACAACAACATCAAGCAGCACCGCAACTAATTCAGCTGATAATTCCCATAATGACTCTTCAACAGAATCTTCAAATAACTCTTCGCCGCTGACAACTTCAGAAACAACAACAACGACGACGGCGACTACTACTACTACCACCACGACAACAGAAACAAACACTGATCCCAAACCACCAACTCCATCAGAAAATCAGACTACGACAACAGTACATGGCGACTATGTGACGTCCCCAAGTTATAGTCTGTCAGGTAAGTTAGGAACATAATTGTCTAACTAATGAGTGAGTGAGTATGGTTTTACGCCGCTTTAAGCAATTATCCAGCAATATTCCGGCTGGGTTTAATTACTGGACATCGAATGATGGAGATTCATTAACACATTTTTGTGATATTGTCAGAATCGTTGAAGGAAAGTGTTTTATCATCACACTTACATGTCCTGTTGTTTTGCAATGCACGATCTTAATTACTTTTCACATATCGTTCATGTAAGATCTGGGCGGTGGGGTAGCCTAGTGGTTAAAGCGTTGGCTCGTCAAGCCGAAGACCCGGGTTCGATTCCCCACATGGGTACAATGTGTGAAGCCCATTTCTGGTGTCCCCTGCCGTGATATTGCTGGAATATTGCTAAAAGCGGCGTAAAACTAAACTCAGTCAGTCAGTCATGTAAGATCTATGTTAGAATTGGTCTTGAGTAAACCATGCTTGTCGTAAGAGGCGACTAACGGGATCGGGTGGTCAGGCTCGCTGACTTGGTTGACACATGTCAATTACGTAGATCCCTGATGATGATGTTGATCAGTCGTTAGTCTGGCATATAGCTGGAATATTTTTGAGTGCGACGTTAAACACCAAACAAACAATCGAGCTTCAGATGTTCACCGGTCAAATATCATAATATTGTACATTTTGGATAGCCATTGTGTTACAAACCCATACCGTTCAATGTTTTACAAAATGACTTCAGGGGCGGTGGGGTAGCCTAGTGGTTAAAGCGTTGGCTCGTCAGGCCGAAGACCCGGGTTCGATTCCCCACATGGGCACAATGTGTTAAGCCCATTTCTGGTGTCCCCCGCCGTGATATTGCTGGAATATTGCTAAAAGCGGCGTAAAACTAAACTCAGTCAGTCAGTCAGTCAAAATGACTTCACAGCAGAGACTATAACAACTATACTAACGCAAAAACCACTTTGAATCAATTATTCCTTCTATAGATACAATTCTGCTTCCAGATAACACAGCATCTGTTCCACATGGCGATCCATCTACGGCTGATGTTCCTGCATGGACAACATATCCAACAACTGTACCAACAAACACAGCTCATATAACAGACCCCACTTCAATCTATGACCCAATCATCAGCCCAACACCTACATCCGCAGAACCCAAAACCGATATGATCCTTAAAACTGAACCAAGTACACTAATAAGCGATCAGACAATCCAACCATCCAGCCAAGGGCTCCAGGCCACTTCCGGTTCAGACCTCGCCTTCTTCTACTCAACCATCCAACCAGTTGAGAGCGTGGATATGTTGAGTGAGGGGTTTACCACCCAGATAAACTCCATCATCGTGCTGTGTTCCTGCTACTGCAAGGCCCCCAACGAGACCAATAGAGTCATCTCCACGGTGGACCTCAGGAATCTTGCTGTGGACAAGAGAAACGTGTCCAAGTTCAGACGTCGCTTCTACAGCGTGTTGGATGAACGCCCTTCGGCTATTTCTATTGGGTCGACGGGAATCTTTTGTCTAGCTTTTGTGTTTTGTCTTTTTGTTCTATCAGATGTGGATTATGTAGTCAGAAATAAGAACAAAATCGCACAAGGAAATATGTAAAATCGTTAAACCCAGACACCATATCAAGAAGTTCAAGGATGAGGTTTACTGAGTGAGTGAGTTTGGTTTTACGCCGCTTTTAGCAATATTCCAGCAATATCACGGCGGGGGACACCAGAAATGGGCTTAACACATTGTACCCATGCGGGGAATCGAACCCGTTTCTTCGGCGTGACGAGCCAACGCCTTAACCACTAGGCTACCCCACCGCCCCTGAGATTTACTGAAATGACATCGTTTAATATAGGATTAAATCACTATAGACATGAAAGTATCGTATATTGTATTATTTAAATGTAAGTACCTTCACAGACGGACAGATTAGACTTTACGCATGTCCAGTGAATCAAAACTATTTTCCTAGCTTTTCCTGGAGCAAAGTATATGTTTTACAAACATTCCTTTATGATTTTTTAACGGCTGCAGTGTTAAACATGTTACCAGTGTATTCAAACACTACTTTCCCATGTAGTGTTTCTTTGTGTAGAGACACTTTACATGACTGATGTCGGTAGTATGTGTATGTTTCGTGTACAAACCAATTGTTTATATTTGTCAAGATGTTATTATTGTGTGATTGCGAAACCCCAGGTATTTCCTATCACGATCTCAGTTGCAAGAAGTGCCTTATTGTAGATATGAAATGTAACATGCTTTCTTATAATTCTGCTTCAACCTGTAATGCACTTATGGTCAGTCATCCGCACCGTGATAACTGAAGCACTTTTTATAGCGGCCCATGACACTATCACTCACTCACACTGTGTACTGTCATGATCTGTGTATGGTTGTTGGAAAACCAACAATAACTATTGTATAATATTCAGTGTTTTAACCTTAAACAAGAAAGCATGGTGTTCCAAATGTCATGACCAGATAGGTTTGTTTCTATTTCAAAGCTTAATTTTACCAACATATATACTGCATGTAGACGTTCAAAATTGGCTATACATCAGTTGACGATTCTACTAAATTACTAACGTTTATACAACATAAATATCTTATGGACCTTGTATTGTATGTATTTTCATAGCATAGGATTTATGGACCCGGTTGAACGATGTAATCTCATAACATAAGACTTACGGACACGACATAACGATGAATTCTCACAACGTAGGACTTATGGACCCCGCTAAACGATGTATTCTCACAACGTAGGTCTTATGGACCCCGCTAAATGATGTATTGTCACAACATGGGACTTACGGACACGGATTAATGATGTATTCTCACAACATAGAACTTATGGACCCCGCTAAATGATGTATTGTGACAACATGGGACTTACGGACACGGCTGAACGATGTATTCTCACAACACAGGACTTATGGACCACAATATTATTCTCACAACACAGGACTTATGGACCACAACATTATTCTCACAACACAGGACTTATGGACCACAACATTATTCTCACAACACAAGACTTACGGACAAAACTAAACGATGTCTTCTCAAAACACAGGCCTTATTGATCCCACTAAGTACTGTGTTCTCACAACATAGGACTTATAGACCGCACTAAACGATATATTCTCACAACGTACGTCTTATGGATCAGAATGAACGACTTATCCACACAAGGACTTGGACAGATATGATTTTGTTCATTATTGTCTTTACGCACAAACCGTGATGCATTGAAGAATATTGTATAATGTGAAGTAGAAGTGATATGAATGTTTTCAAGTGTTACTGTCAATGTTGATGTTTTTATCAAGTCATGACTATAGTCTGTTTGCAATGAAAACGTACCGATGGATTTCACTTTAAACAAAAAAGTAAATCAAGTTCGCAATCTTAATTTCACTTTATTCGATTTACCTTTTTGTTTAGAGTGAAATTCATAGGTACGTTTTCACCGTAAATAGACTATAAACTGTTGTATCACTAGTATTTGGGAATATATGCACCTGTTTTACCGTCATACTTGACATCACCTACCGGTGGAATAAACACGTACAGCATTGGCTCCAGTGTTGCGTTTACTTTGAGTGAGTGAGTATGGTTTTACGCCTCGTTTAGCAATATTTCAGCAATATCACGGCGGGGCACACCAGAAATAGGCTTCACACATTGTATCCATGTGGGGAATCGAACCCGGGCCATCGGCATGAAGAGAGAACGCTTTGACCTCTGGGCTAATATTACACGTGTGTTTCTGATATAAAGCACGTTTATACTACCTACGTGTAATGCGAAATCATTTGACAACACGTGTCTTCTTGAATGAAAGGAACGACATATTCTCACAACACGTGTCTTCTTGAACAAAAGGAACGACATATTCTCACAACACGTGTCGTAATGAAGAGAAGAAACGACATATTCTCACAACACGTGTCTTCTTGAACAAAAGGAACGACATATTCTCACAACACGTGTCGTAATGAAGAGAAGAAACGACATATTGTCACAACACGTGTCCTAATGAAAAGCAGGAACGACATGTTGTCACAGTACGTGTCCCAATGAAGAGAAGGAACGACATATTGTCACAACACGTGTCGTAATGAAGAAAAGGAACGACATATTCTCACAACACGTGTCTTAATGAAGAGAAGGAACGACATATTCTCACAACACGTGTCGTAATGAAGAGAAGAAACGACATATTGTCACAACACGTGTCCTAATGAAAAGCAGGAACGACATGTTGTCACAGTACGTGTCCCAATGAAGAGAAGGAACGACATATTGTCACAACACGTGTCGTAATGAAGAAAAGGAACGACATATTCTCACAACACGTGTCTTAATGAAGAGAAGGAACGACATATTCTCACAACACGTGTCTTATTGAGACGAGGGAACGACATATTGTCACAACGCGTGTCTTAATGAAGAGAAGGAACGGCATATTCTCAGAACACGTGTCTTATTGAGACGAGGGAACGACATATTGTCACAACGCGTGTCTGAATGAACAGAAGGAACGGCATTTTTCTCACAACACGTGTCTTATTGTACCAAGGGAACTGCCAAGGCAATCCAGTGCACAGACAGACAGGTTTATTTCATAGATGTGGCCATGAGGCCAATAGTACAAAATGACAACTTAGATTAAATTTTTACAGAGCGCATGGACATGATTTTGTTTACAAAAATTGCTAGACGGAGTATTATGTTATGGTTCTTAGTATTTAGAAGATGTACAAATTTTTGTTTATTTGGGTTCAAAATATAGATACTTGGTATGTAGTGAGTTCTTTCCGCTGCATATAAAGGACATTTCATTAACACATGATACTCATCTTCTGGTACATTTTTTACAATAATCGCACATAGCTACACTAACGTCATTGTCTTTAGATCTTCTGTACTAAACTATTTTTAAATTGGTGGAGCCACATCTGAATTTTGTTAAGACTCTGCGCAGATGTAACGAAGAGAGTGCGATCAAATACAATTCCGGAACAATATCAGATTTAAAGGCAGAATACATATGCAGTGATTTTGAGTTTCTTATATCTTGTGTCCATTCTTGATAGTACATGTCTTTACAACGTTGTTTGAAAAGATTTAAAAACAATTCCCAGTTTCCGACATTTTGATATATCCATACATAAGCAAATCCATGTTGAAATAATATTGATCGTACTGCCGAAGCCCAGTTAATATCTCCATTGTCGTCTAAACGTTTCAACATATCATACGAGCGACGTGAGTAACGTGTGTCTGGTTGCCGAAGCAGACGTATCCAGAACGAAACAACTCGTGTCATATAATTTACATGTAAAGGGTATCTCCCACATTCTGCTAAAACTGCCTTGTTCGATGTGCGATAGCCAACGTTTAGAACGTTTTTACAAAATTTTGAATGTACTTTTTCTATTCCATGGCGGATAACAGTTCCCCAAATTTCTGCTCCATATAATAATATAGGTTGGATTTTACAGTCAAAGATTTTGAAAAATATATCGAACGGAATTGTTTTATATCTGTACATGAATTTCTTAATAGGAAATAAGGCTTTCTCTGCTTGCTTACACAAAACACCACAAGCTTTTGTGAATACATTTCTACAAGATAACGTTAATCCAAGATACTTATAATAGGAGACAGTTTCTAGTTTCTCTGTTCCAATTGACCATTTTTCTCTTTCTGCTATTCTACCACCTTTTTTAAAAACTATGACCTTTGTCTTATTTGTATTTATTGACAATCCCCATTTCGTACAATACTGTTCTAAGATATCTATCTTTTTCTGTAGGTTCACAACGCTGTCTCCAAATATAGCGACATCATCCGCAAACAGAAGAATTGACAGTGCATTTATAGTCTCATCAATAAAAGCGCCACTATAGTCGCTGTTTATGATGTCGTTAACTAGTTCATCAATGTACATAATAAATAGGACTGGAGATAAGATACAACCTTGTCGTAATCCAGTCACTGGGTTAAATATTTCAGTCATACTGTACTTCGTACACCTAACAGCTGCTTTTGCATGAGTATACATTGAACGTAAAACAGTGCTAATTTTACCATGTAGACCATTGTTGAGAAGTATATATAGGAGCTTGTTTCTGTCAACGGTATCGAAAGCTTTTTTAAAATCAACAAAAATACAGTAAAATTTTCCACGTTTTTCCTTATGTACTTGTGAATAATCGAATTTAGAACAAATAGTTGGTCAATAGTACTGTAGTCTTCTCTAAACCCTGCTTGCGACTCGGAAATGATATCCTGTGTTGAAGCCCAAAGTTTTATACGTGTATCTAGAATACTTGTGAATACTTTGCTAATTATATCAAGTAGAGCAATACCCCTGTAGTTATTGGGATCCTCTCTATCCCCAGCTTTATATAACGGAACGATAAGACCAAGGTTCCAAGAATCTGGAAAATTACCAGTGTTGAAAATCTCGTTGAAAAGACGTTTATAAATAGGTAATAATATCAAACAAGTTTCCTTAATGGCCTCTGTCGGAATACCATCTGCCCCGGGAGATTAACCATTTTTCAGATTCTTAATTGCATTCAAGATTTCATCATTTGAGATCTCGTCACCCAAGATATCGTCACAGTCTCTACATTGTTCACAATTAACGACATGTTGTCACAGCACGTGTCATAATGAAGAGAAGGAACGACATATTGTCACAACACGTGTCTTATTGAGACGTGGGAACGACATATTGTCACAACGCGTGTCTAAATGAACAGAAGGAACGGCATATTCTCACAACACGTGTCTTATAGTACCATGGGAACTGCCCAGGCAATCCAGTGCCTATGAACGTCGCGGTATTATTTTTTCTAACGACCAGAATGAATTCTGTAAAAATGCTATGTTTAACATACGTCCATTTTATTTTTCAGCTGTTAAATGACAAGACAGTTGTCTGTATTGTTACGTTATAAGATGTTATCAAGTCAATGGTATTAATTCTCTATTATTGAATTTCTTGTTTCGGCATTTTTGGTATCACTTTTTTGGTGAAACGTTCACATGCCTTCCAAAGTTCACAATTCATCAGTCGGTTGAGCCACTCATCCCTTGCCATGATGCTGATCTGACCATCCGTAATGGTATACGCTTCAGGCCCTTGTTTGTCATGGAAAACAATACCATCGAAACTGTTGATGACCACTTGAAGTACATACAGTGGTCCCTGGTCATCTACACAGTGTACCAACACATCTATAAGGTCAGGAGGTGGTTCATGGAACGCCTTGTCGCCTGCACTGAGGACTACCATGTCGCTTCGAGTTTTCTCGTAGAGGCTGCATGTAAGTTGGTCAATGTCCACCAGAGGATTAAAGCCTGTTGCCGTCCTTATCTTCGTTTTGTACTGGTCAGTTTTATGACTTGATTCCGTCACTCCAATATAGAACGAGCCACCTTCTGGCAGTTTAGACATTGAACTGACATTGTCTTTCAATTTAAGGTCATTCCATATGTAGTCAGTTATTTCGTCAACAGACACGGGTTTTTTCGTGAGTTGATGTTGAGTGAAAGCTTTCAGCTCAATTGCTCTGTTTTCAAACAAAGGAATGGAATTGGGGACACGGGTCATGTGTTGTCTCTGTAATCCTCGTAAATATGGGTACTTGTCGGCATTACCTCTTAACAACATTCTAACAATATTGAGAAAGGATGGTCTCTCATTTTCGAAGTCATTACGTATTTTAGTATTGAAATTCAACGTTGATACACATTTTGTTTCCGCGATTGTATATACAAGAAAGTCAGTCTCCCTTTCAAAATTTTGAATGTCGGACAGCCATAGACGGGAGAAGCAGTCTGTGAATAAGGAACCATCCTCAATGAGTTCTCCAAACCTTTTCCCAATCGCTTCATCAAATATCTCCAGGTCTCTATCCCAGGCCTCTTGGCCTTCAACATGTACGAGCAGAATACCGCCTGATACATTTCTAAGAGCAGTTGCTCTTTCCGCTAGTTTCTTAAGAAGATTTACTTTCTCTTTGCTCTTCCTTCCAATAAGCACAGATCTGCTGGTATGAAACACAATGACAACCGGATCGCTTGATACCTCCCCGAAGGAACATTTTACACGTCTACAACATGGGCAGGCACTATCCATCTGAAAGTGACAAGGCAATACGTATATTCAGTGTCTTGTAGCTTAATACATACACCGTGGATGGTGTAGAACTGAGGCTTATGATTGTACTGCCCAAAATTCGACCACATCCCTTGATGATATATCAGCATGGCTCGGTTACGCAAAGTCGAAAATATCACATCGCAGAGAGACACAAAACAAATGCTTCAAAAATTTGTATTATGCAGTAATGTAAATGAAATGCACCTAGAAATTCCTTTAAATGACACCAAGACCATTGCCCTGAGTCACAAACTCATATTGAGTGAATTGTTAACATATTTTTTAGGGGTTAAGTCTGGGCTGGAGGGGTATACTTTGGCCTGGTCCAGAATATGCCCCCGGGGTATAAACTGGGCTAGCCTATAGTTTACCCCGGGGTATAATCTGGTGGGGGGTTATTCTGGGCTGCTACACCGGGATCGATTCCCCACATGGGTACAACGAATGAAGCCCAGTTCTGGTGTCGCCCGTCGTGATATTACTGGAATATTGCCAAAAGCGGCGTAAAGCCTTACTCACTCACTATAACATTAAAGGCCCAATCGCCCAAGGTACGTAGTCCCGTCCCTATAACACGCCAGAAATGTATGATTCAAATCTCGGTTCCTCCTCATTACGTTTCTGGGGTTGTCGGCACCATATACCTCCTCTGAGACCTGCATGACTTAGAGATTTCCTCCACAGCCTGATATTATACCTGGGATACTGTTCACAACAAACTCACTCACTTACTCATCACATTAGATCTTTATCATCCCTTCACACTGTGCTATTGGTCATGATTAGGTAGCATGACAGAGTGAGTGAGTGAGTTCGGTTTTACGACGCTTTTAGCAATATTCCAGCAATATCACGACGGGGATTAGAAGTGAACTTGATATTTAAAGACCAATCTACGGAATAATTTTAAAACGTCACATGTTATACAATGATGATTTTTGATAAAACAAATAACTGTGGCGCATCGATGACATTAATGTTTATCCTTGTTCAAAATGATTGTGAAATACTAAGATATAATTCTCAGCGTAGAGTGCGATTGTGTCTGAACTGTCGATTCTTTAAAGAATTTGTCGCCTTAGTTTTCCTCTGATTCTTGGCCCTCTACTTCTGTATAATTGTGTCACGAACCACAGGCGTCCAAACCTTCTTTCAGTCATTGCCGTGATATTGCTGGAATATTAATTTGGTAAAAGCTGCGTAAACTAAACTCACTCACCCTTCCAGTGATCACGAAAATCCAATAAAATCCCTTTAAGCTAGTTGTATACAGGAAAATATAGATTGTTAAAAGATGCATTCGATTCATAGAATATATAATGAGGCGATGTCATCACCGTTTAGATGGAAGGGGTACCACTGAGGATAGGTGTACAATATTAAAACCAGGCATAACGAGTAGGGCTGGGACGATACACTATGTCACGACACGATACATATCGCGATATTTTACCTGCGATACGATACGTATCACGATACATACGCCTTGAAAGAATGACACGGTATCAAGATTTAAAATGATTTATATCAAGGTATTTGTGTTTAACAATAACATTATTGTAATAAATATACAAGTAACTCATCATACTTGAGTATTTTTCTCTAAATAAGTACTGTAACATGTTTAAGATAATATCGTTTTGAATGAAACTTGTGTATCGTTTTGTATCGATACACCAGTCCACGATACGATGCCTGTATCACACTTAAATGTATCGCGATGCATCGGTGAATCGCCCCAGCCCTAATAACGAGGCAGTACTTCTAAACCAATATAAAGTTCTGGAGGAAGTGTTGCTGTAGGAGCATGGTATAGGAAAGAGGAAGATCATTATTCACTGTAGGAGCTGAAGAAACAAAATGTAAAATTTCAGTATTTAATACATTTAATAGTGTGTATACTGTATATTTAATTACATATCACATATTAGGCACACTACGCCATGCTTATCCGATTATATCCCCCCAACAGGAAACTGCTGAAAAACAAATCTAGTCTGAATGCTGAAATAAGGTCAGTTTTACACTCGTACATTTCACTTAAAAATTCTTAAAAATGTGTTTAAACCCTATATGAATACTACTGCTTATTTGCATAATTGGGAAAAGAATTTCCCAGGACATTTAGCTTAACTGTAGACCTCTAAACAAATATAACATTTCATATTTAAAAAATCTTCTAATCCACAAAAAAAATCTAGGGTATACCTTGAAGTGCTCATAAAATACCTCTTTGCGATGCATTGGCAGGATACTATTAAAACTCACCATACATGCATATTTCTACACTTACAGGAATGTATAACACACGTTAGTCTATCAATGAAATACCTTAGCATCTATACAGTGTATACTACCTGTCACACTCCTACACTTACAGGAATGTATAACACACGTTAGTCTATGAACAGACTGTCTATCAATGAAATACCTTAGCATCTATACAGTGTATACTACCTGTCACACTCCTACACTTACAGGAATGTATAACACACGTTAGTCTATGAACACACTGTCTATCAATGAAATACCTTAGCATCTATACAGTGTATACTACCTGTCACACTCCTACACTTACAGGAACGTATAACACACTTTGGTCTATGAACAGATTGTCTATCAATGAAATACCTTAGCATCTATACAGTGAATACTACCTGTCACACTCCTACACTTACAGGAATGTATAACACACGTTAGTCTATGAACAGACGGTCTATCAATGAAATACCTTTGCATCTATACAGTGCATACTACCTGTCACACTCCTACACTTACAGGAACGTATAACACACGTCAGTCTATGAACAGACTGTCTATCAATGAAATACCTTAGCATCTATACAGTGTATACTACCTGTCACACTCCTACACTTACATGAATGTATAACACACGTTAGTCTATGAACAGACTGTCTATCAATGAAACACCTTAGCATCTATACAGTGTATACTACCTGTCACACTCCTACACTTACAGGAATGTATGACACACGTTGAACAGGTCTATATGAACAGACTACAGTCTATCAATGAAACACCTTAGCATCTATACAGTGTATACTACCTGTCACACTCCTACACTTACAGGAACGTATAACACACGTTGGTCTATGAACAGACAGTCTATCAATGAAACACCTTAGCATCTATACAGTGTATACTACCTGTCACACTCCTACACTTACAGGAACGTATAACACACGCTGGTCTATGAACAGACTGTCTATCAATGAAATACCTTAGCATCTATACAGTGTATACTACCTGTCACACTCCTACACTTACAGGAATGTATAACACACGTTAGTCTATGAACAGACTGTCTATCAATGAAATACCTTAGCATCTATACAGTGTATACTACCTGTCACACTCCTACACTTACAGGAATGTATAACACACGTTAGTCTATGAACAGACTGTCTATCAATGAAATACCTTAGCATCTATACAGTGTATACTACCTGTCACACTCCTACACTTACAGGAACGTATAACACACGTTAGTCTATGAACAGACTGTCTATCAATGAAATACCTTAGCATCTATACAGTGTATACTACCTGTCACACTCCTACACTTACAGGAACGTATAACACACGTTAGTCTATGAACAGACTGTCTATCAATGAAATACCTTAGCATCTATACAGTGTATACTACCTGTCACACTCCTACACTTACAGGAATGTATAACACACGTTAGTCTATGAACAGACTGTCTATCAATGAAATACCTTAGCATCTATACAGTGTATACTACCTGTCACACTCCTACACTTACAGGAACGTATAACACACGTTAGTCTATGAACAGACTGTCTATCAATGAAATACCTTAGCATCTATACAGTGTATACTACCTGTCACACTCCTACACTTACAGGAACGTATAACACACGTTGGTCTATGAACAGACTGTCTATCAATGAAATACCTTAGCATCTATACAGTGTATACTACCTGTCACACTCCTACACTTACATGAATGTATAACACACCTTGAACTAAAATACCTCCACCTCTATATCCGACTCAGCTCATTGGGTTGGTGGAGAGCTGAAGTATTATGTTTCCCAATAACAGCCTCGTGCTTTGTTATCTAACATCGGTGATGACAATTCGATGGTTGAATTCAATTGAATCATTCGTTTATGTTATGTCATCAACGTGAACACATATGTGTCTTTTTTACCTCATTTCGTTTTAAAGCTTGAGGTATGCGGAAGTCTGCTCTGGTGATCTGTTGTTCACACGTATTCAATTCCATTTAGAATATAAAAAGCATCTATTGCTACGCTACTTGTAGGCGACACTGCCATTTCAGTTATAGTGTATATCACTAGCCTGGTGTACCATTGAGTGTACCAAGCTATGTTTCCGTACCTTGGATAACCAGCGCATTGTATTCATGGAATGTATGCATGTTTGGTTACTGTGGTAATAAAACGTACAGGGTAGATTGTTAGTAAGGAAGTGACGTCACATAAGGGGGAATTCCCTGAGAAAAGCTTGGCGTCTTTCACATTGGATTCAGAGAAATACTACTTGTTGAACGACAACTAATTACTTTCCAGAGACATTTAACATTCAATATTCCGGGACAAATGAGACACACACACACTCTTCCCTATTTGGTACCCTATTGCCAAACAACAAGGAGTGAACAACAACTTACTATGATCACCGCATCCACACTCGATCACCTAACTGTAAAAGAAATCTGAGACTTTAGTCTTGCGGTAATATTCATCACACGAATGTCCGTATATCGAATATATGTGTAACATCGATTTGCCACAGTCCTCTTCCTTGACATGTGTTGGGCTACCGCGAATAGTACATGACTCAGCTACGCCGATATCAGGAAGTAACTCACGATGTGAAACTGCCTTGAGTTACCTCCCTTACCTCTCTAAGCGAATTGCTTGTCTCTATCCAGAAACAGATGGATTTCTCTTCAAATATTTCTTTTCATTATATTATGCAATAATTCTATTTTTAACTGTGTGTGATGCTGTCTCTCTCCACAAAGTGCTGCATATTCCTTTTATCATATAACGGATAGTGTTATAAACGCGATAAACCAATCCATATTAGCCTGGTCTCATGACCAATATGCAGATGAAGCCACGAGGCAGGAACTGTTTTAGGCATCATACATCGATGCAATGCCTACTTCGTCATAATACCCGTGATGATTCGGGTTAGAATTGGTCTTCAGCAACCCATGCTCGTCATAAGAGGCGAATAATGGGATCGGGTAGTCTTGGGTGAGACATATATCCCATGTACGTAGATCGATGGTCATGCTATTGATCACTGGATTGTCTGGTCCGGACCCGATTATTAATAGCTGTGATATTGCTGAGTGTGGCGTTAAACAACAAACAAACAGACAAAATACTTCGTCATTACAGTATATGTACTAACACTAGGCCTAGAGATCGGATACTCAAATTACAGTAGGGGCGGTGGGGTAGTCCAGCAGTTACAGAATTCGTTCGTCACGCCGAAGGCCTGGGTTCGATTCCCTACATGGGTACAATATGTGAAGTCCATATCTGGTGTCCACCGCCGTGATATTGCTGGAATATTGCTAAAAGCGGTGTAAAAACACAACTCACTCAAATTACAGTGTGTTACATTGTATTCAAGATTGTTTTCTTAAAAACAATCTGTAAGTCATAAAGAATTTTTAAAGAATGACATCAGACAATAAAGGCGTCAACTTGCTTATCAGGGTTTTATAGGCCTGCATCACTTTAGAATATGTTCCTACATCAAGCTGACACGCCCTGGTGTAACTGGAAAACTGCTTTAGGCGCTGTTTAACCAAGGTCACTCACTCACACATCATGATTATAGGGGGGGGGGAACGACCATTATTGGCATGAGTATACCACCACGTCTATATCCGACTCAGCTCATTGGGTAGGTGGAGAGCTGAAGTATTATGTTATGTACGTACAGGAATGTATGACTCACGTTGAACTAAGTATTATGTTACCCAAGTAATTTAATAACAGCCTTGTGCTTTGTTATCTAACATCGGTGATAACAATTCGATGGTTGAATTCAATTGAATCATTCGTTTATGTTATCTCATCAACGTGAACACATATGTGTCTTTTTTACCTCATTTCGTTTTAAAGCTTGACGTATGCGGAAGTCTGCTCTGGTGGTCTGTTGTTCAAACGTATTCAATTCCATTTAGAATATAAATAGCATCTATTGCGACGCTAGTTGTAGGCGACACTGCCATTTCAGCTATAGTGTATATCACTTGCCTGGTGTACCATTGAGTGTACCAAGCTATGTTTCCGTACCTTGGATAACCAGCGCATTGTATTCATGGAATGTATGCATGTTTGGTTACTGTGGTAATAACACGTACAGGGTGGATTGTTAGTAAGGAAGTGACGTCACATAAGGGGAATTCCCTGAGAAAAGCTGGGCGTCTTTCACATTCGATTCAGAGAAATACTACTTGTTGAACGACAACTAATTATTTTCTAGAGACATTTAACATTCAGTATTCCGGGACATATGAGACACACACTCTTCCCTATTTGGTACCCTATTACCAAACAACAAGGAGTGAACAACAACTTACTATGATCACCGTATCCACACTCGATCACCTATTGAATATATGTGTAACGTCGATTTGCCACAGTCCTCATCCGTTACATGTGTTGGGCTACCGCGAATAGTACATGACTCAGCCACGCCGATATCAGGAAGTAACTCACCATGAGAAACTGCCTTGAGTTGCCTCCCTTACCTCTCCAAGTGTCACTACCCAGAAACAGATGGATTTCACTTCAAATAGAAATAGCAACACTTATACCCAAGACACAATACCCATATAACTGGCATTGTAAGGACACGATGCCCGCACATTAAATTATAAAATAATTGCGGTCTGTGTGACTTAATGTGTTCTGTTGAAAAAGTTTGTATTTAATCCGGGTTTTCAATTTATAGTGTTAGTATATTCCACAGTTCGGTAGCTATATGCATGTTTTATTTAGTTTGGTCCGGATTTGATTATTTTCACACCGCCGCCATATAGCTCTGATATTGGTGAGTGTGGCGTTAAACAACAATCAAACAAACAGATAAAAAACTTCGTCATTACAGTATATGTACTAACACTAGGCATGGAGAGCAGATTCTCATATTACAGTAGGGGCGGTGGGGTAGCCCAGTGGTTAAAGCGTTCGTTCGTCACGCCGAAGGCCCGGGTTCCATTCCCTAGATTGGTACAATATGTGAAGTCCATATCTGGTGTCCCCCGCCGTGATATTGCTGGAATATTGCTAAAACCCCAACTCACTCACTCAAATTACAGTCTAACATTGTATTCAGCATTAGTTCCTTTAACAAATCAGTAAGTCATGAAGATTTTTTAAAGAATGACATTAGACAATAAAGGCGTCAAAACGTTTATCAGAGTGAAAGCACTGAATACCTTTATAAAGTTACGAAATGTAATTAGTGGACATGTTGAAAACATTCTCATCATGACACATCGGTTACCAACATTATGTCTGATAAATTCCCTGTTTTGACTTGTACTAAATGTCCCCTTTCTCCTTCGCAGGTGAACAAATGACCTGTATGCGCATGTGGTTATGAAGGGTGGCAAATGATAGTTGGGGTTCGAATCCCGTTTATATATCTCTGATTGTCCGCACCATTGCCGTTATTGAGAGTTTCCCCAAAGTCGTACACGTCAGAGACCTATGTCAGTTTAGGCTTTTGTCGTAGGCACTTTGATGGGGTATGGGTTTTATCGGGAAATATAGACATGTTTGTATATTCTCTGAGTTAAGTTAAAGTTGTGTTATCTAAATCTAAATCACAGTGCTGACCATGTACATGAAATATCCGCAGCTTATATTATCATGACCATCAGCACAGCCATGTACAGATAAGCTGCCTGCGTGTAATTAACCCTAATGAACCTTAGAGTATGGCCGGTTGGCCACGGAAGTATAACATTGTGGATGAGGTGCATGCTGGATACTGCAGGTTGACCATACATGTATCGTAATACGATACAGGGCAGCCTGACAGTCAGTAGTATATAGACAATGAATTCTTAATGTAACGGGACTTGACCCTCGGACAGCGGCTAGGCAGGTGGGCTGACGATCGCCTCTGTGATGCTGCCTGGCCGTTACTGCACTACCATGTAATTACATACTTAGTTGACAAATAAAGTGTTGTGGACCAACTGATGGGCTTCTGTCTTTGAAGAGACAGATATACCACAAACCATTAAACCAGCCCGGGATACTTTCCTGCATCAAGCTGACACACCCGGATATAACCGGAATACTGCTCCAAGCGCCGTTAAACCAGGGTCACTCACTCACACATCATGATTATATTCTAAAATGAACACACGCTGGACACACATATTCTCCTTTATTCTTTAATCAAGGTACACACAGATAGAGTCATTCGCCTGAACATCTGTTTTCAAAAAAGGGCCACATAAACAATATACTTGTTTCTCATTACTTTTAAAAAGACATATGATCGGATTTTATTTTTACATTTTATTTTATTTTATGTCCAAAACCCCTTGATTTCTGTGGAAATTTACACCTTTGCTCCGATAGAAAATCAAAACTTAGAAGTGTAGAAAAAGTCATGCACATTTTGAGAGTCAAAGCATTTTCTCTGGTGTAAAGAAATTATAAAATCATAGGGTCGGGTCGGGTGTTTGGGTCAGGCGGTAATAAGAAACAAGAATATTTTTATATACGGCCTTAAGTTTCAATCAGATCTTTTGAATATCGCTACTAATATCATCATACTAATAACACGGCCGTGATAACCATGTTATTTATGTCTGACATGCAAATATATCCAAATAAACCTACATTCAAATTTAATGTATACCATACACGATGTACAAAATAAAGCTATTTTCGCAGACTGTTTACAAATGTTAACACAATATCATTTTAAACGCAATTTCATACTGTGGGATAAAATCACTATTCTCCTCGTATTATCAAAGGTGACATAGGTCATTCAGTAAATACATAACAGGCAATCAACCTACATGATTAAAATAACTGTAAAATCTGTCAGCATAGGAATGTTATAATTCATAAGATTCAGATTGTATTTACTGTAATCGATCATCACCAATCCGCTGTATATAAGGAAAAATACAATATGTCTTAAAGACAAGGTATGACACAGGTGCTTCCTGGCCCACGTGATCTACACATGATCGAAATAGTTAGACAACATTATCATAGCTGATGTACTCATATGAATGGAAATTAAAACACCCCCACCTTTGTGATGCACATTACAAGGCAAAATAGGGGTTAAAATATGTGTACGGTCCAGGAAGTATTTTTCAAAGGTTCGACTTGAAGTCCAAAAATCGAAACATTGGGTTTAGACGAGCTGTGTGTCATAACCAATGTAGGAATGTCTTTACGTGTCATCATAATAATCATTTCAAGTGGTCCCTTATCATATCCTGTGCCCAGAAGTGAAGATACCAACGGTTGCCCATATCACAGATAGAGTTAATCAAAGAAGCGTCACAATGGGACGTTGAGTCTGTAATAATACACGTGATCAACACGTGATCAGTGCAACCTACACGTGCGTAACAAGAATTAAAAACAAGAGACATTGTTCTTACGTCTACAACGGAATCAAACCCGATCCTGACTGTCTCAGACTAGAATCAGGGGCGGTGGGGTAGCTCTAGGGGTTAAAGCGTTCGCTCGTCACGCAGAATACCCGGTTCGATTCCCAACATGGGTGCAATCAGTGAAGCACATTTCTGGTGTCCACGCTGTAATATTGCTGGAATTTTGCTAAACGAGGTGTAAAACTAAACTCACTCACCCATAAGAGAATCAACGTTGTGAGGCACTGATTTCCAGAAAACAATGATTTCCTTGTAATTCATTTTACACTTTATGACAGACTTATAATAGGAAGTCTTACAGATGAAGAGCACGTTTTCTTCCGTACTGTCATACACATCAGTTGTGTTGTATTGCCATACTCCTCCTAAACTTCGTATTTTCTATGTTCTGACTGTCAGCAAAGGTCGTGCTTATGTATTGTTATTCTATCACGTTGTTAGACTTGTAATCCTAGTGATCATGATGAAGTATTTCAAAATATATAACGTCTTGGCCTTTTCTAAAAGTGAATGAGTGAGTGTAGTTTTACACTATTAGCAATATTCCAGCAATAACACGGCGGACCTTTCATTAAAACTTGTCACATGATAATCACTGTTACAAACTGCCTACAGGTCAGTACAGGTGCACCATTGCTCTTTCGCTAAAATGAAAAAAGTACATAAAACATGAACATCAGAGAATGCCTTGTCTCGATTATTGTGATTCTTATGCTCTGCAAGAATTACCTTCAAAATCCTCATTCTGACTCATGTCTGCCTCTACAACGATAACCTTCCCGACTATCTGAAACATCTTGTCTCCGTGTACGTGGGTCGGTCAAAAAGTACTCGGTTTAACTATATTCTCGATGTCCAATGTTTGAAAAGCTTCCTCCTTAGTTGGAAGGCATCATTAGCAAAGCCATAACCAAAATTTCACTTATGTGGGTAATGCAGTTAACGAGATATTAGTCATCACAACACATTGGAATATGTTTCTAAAGAATTGCAGAAAATGAAAAACGATCTGTCATTGGCACCTCTTGGATAATGGTATGCCCTCAGATAATATCATAAAATATGCTCAGTGTAGTATTGGAAGACTTCCCGTCATAATCAACAGTCAAATATTTGAATTGCTTAATTTAGATTTACACGGGGCTGTTTTTAAGGACACCCCCATTTTAGTCTTTCAAAAACATTGTGTCCAGATATTCAAGCCGGCCCTATTTACAATATATCGAGAGCTGACAGGTGTGTGGCCATTCAATATTGAGTTTGAACCATTGGCATCATGTATGGATAAGTGAAAAAAAAGAAGTTATGTCCTTATGATTACGTCATCTGAAAAGGGGTGGGTAGTGTCTCCAAAACATGCTCTTTCAGTAAACATTTTTAGTTTTAAATTGTTTGCATATGCACTTTAATATCTAAGTTTGATTCTAGCCGACTTCTTCCTACCTCAAACACACAAAATGTTTATTGCATATTTTGTTTCCTAAAGTTAGTGATGCATTTATTGCAGATTTTGCGTTTTGGGGAGTACCAAGATAAAAAGTCAAAATGGGGATCGTGAGGCTTGAACCAGGGATAATCTACAGCACGTCTTCTATTCTCCCTGCTTGAACACAGCAAAACCTAATTTGCATGAGGTTGACAGATAACATGTAGAAAAATATAACATAAAACAGCTGCATTTGTGTTAATATCTAGGTGAGACCGAGTACTTTTAGACGGACCCTCGTATTTGAAGCTCCTTCAGCAGCCCAGTTGGACATATACAAAATCTGATATGTTTCAATAAGATCCATACACAAACACGTTATCGAGGCCATATTGAATAGGCAAGTAAGGTTGAAAGTTTGTAAGTTGAATTTATAATATAGTTTACAATGAAACATACAATATACAAGGTTCCCCTATCAAAACCTTAATGTTGTATTGTACAGTTCGTAGTGCAATAAATTATCGCATTTGTACATTAAGACAACATCTAGACAGGAACATGATTTTTTGTGCTCACAAGAAGAAAATGCAGAATGAAAAGGACGCTTATTATGGGAATAAAGGCAGAATGTGACAATCTGTCAATATAATAATGTGTCAAAACATACTTATGGCCACCAAAATTTACTCATGATAAAACAATATTATTTCACAATATTACAACCTCTTATTTCACATTACAAGTTATATAGTATACCTAAATCTATGAAAAAAGGTAGAACACAAACACTTGTGCCTCTACGAGAAATCCCTTTTCAGTACTATACTTTACAGACAGGTGCATTACCATATAAATCAACAAAAAACAAGGTACAGTTCAAGTTATATAGCTAAAACTAAGCCACAAATATATATTTGCAACCACTGCTAATATTTGTATAAGACCAGAGAAAACATCAATGACTGACATCCTGTGACATGAAAAGCTAACATTTGATCGTGATGAAGTATTCTGGATACGCTTGGGTATCGCTGAAAATGACAAAGGTCTTGGGGTCGGCTGGATCGTTGACCACACTGTCATACAGGAGTTCTGGCTTAGCGGGATCACGAGGAGGTGGGACTCTCAGTTGGGCCTGGCCCGTCGTGAAGGATCCCGTGAGGACTCTGCTCTGGAAGAGGTACCGTTTCCCGTTGGCGTCTACAGGGGCATACCTGTCCTGGGCGGCTGCAGGGGCGGTAGTGGTGAAGTAGACTCCCTCCCCATACTCACTCTCTGTGAACACAAGTGATAACACATAATCCTCGCTCTCTGCCAACACAAGTGATAACACATAATCCTCGCTCTCTGCCAACACAAGTGATAACACATAATCCTCGCTCCCTGCCAACACAAGTGATAACACATAATCCTCACTCTCTGCCAACAAAAGGATAACACATAATCCTCACTCTCTGCCAACACAAGGGATAACACATAATCCTCGCTATCTCCCAACACAAGGGATAACACATAATCCTCACTCTCTGCCAACAGAAGGGATTACACATAATTCTCGCTTCCTGCAAACACAAGGGATTACACATAATTCTCACTCTCTGCCAACAGAAGGGATAACACATAATCCTCGCTCTCTGCCAACACAAGGGATAACACATAATCCTCGCTCTCTGCCAACACAAGGGATAACACATAATCCTCACTCTCTGCCAACACAAGGGATTACACATAATTCTCGCTCCCTGCAAACACAAGGGATTACACATAATTCTCACTCTCTGCCAACAGAAGGGATTACACATAATTCTCACTCTCTGCCAACACAAGGGATAACACATAATCCTCACTCTCTGCCAACACAAGGGATAACACATAATCCTCACTCTCTGCCAACACAAGTGATAACACATAATCCTCGCTATCTCCCAACACAAGGGATAACACATAATCCTCACTCTCTGCCAACACAAGTGATAACACATAATCCTCGCTCTCTGCCAACACAAGTGATAACACATAATCCTCGCTCTCTGCCAACACAAGTGATAACACATAATCCTCGCTCTCTGCCAACACAAGTGATAACACATAATCCTCGCTCTCTGCCAACATAAGTGATAACACATAATCCTCACTCTCTGCCAACAAAAGTGATAACACATAATCCTCGCTCTCTGCCAACACAAGGTGATAACACATAATCCTCGCTCTCTGCCAACACAAATCCCCTCGCTCTCTGGATGAACACATAATCCTCGCTCTCTGCCAACACAAGTGATAACACATAATCCTTACTCTCTGCCAACACAAGTGATAACACATAATCCTCGCTCCTCTGCCAACACAAGTGATAACACATAATCCTCACTCTCTGCCAACACATCCTCGCTCTCTGCCAACACAGTGATAACACATAATCCTCGCTCTCTGCCAACACAAGGGATTACACATAATCCTCGCTCTCTGCCAACACAAAGGATAACACATAATCCTCGCTCTCTGCCAACACAAGTGATAACACATAATCCTCGCTCTCTGCCAACACAAGTGATTACACATAATCCTCGCTCTCTGCCAACACAAGTGATAACACACAATCCTCGCTCCCTGCCAACATAAGTGATAAAACATAATCCTCACTCTCTGCCAACAAAAGTGATAACACATAATCCTCGCTCTCTGCCAACACAAGGGATAACACATAATCCTCGCTCTCTGTCAACACAAAGGATAACACATAATCCTCGCTCTCTGCCAACACAAGTGATAACACATAATCCTTACTCTCTGCCAACACAAGCGATAACACATAATCCTCGCTCTCTGCCAACACAAGTGATAACACATAATCCTCACTCTCTGCCAACACAAGTGATAACACATAATCCTCGCTCTCTGCCAACACAAGGGATTACACATAATCCTCGCTCTCTGCCAACACAAAGGATAACACATAATCCTCGCTCTCTGCCAACACAAGGGATAACACATAATCCTCACTCTCTGCCAACACAAGTGATAACACATAATCCTCGCTTCTCTGCCAACACAAGTGATAACACATAATCCTCACTCTCTGCCAACACAAGTGATAACACATAATCCTCGCTCTCTGCCAACAAAAGTGATAACACATAATCCTCCCTCTCTGCCAACACAAGGGATAACACATAATCCTCACTCTCTGCCAACAAAAGTGATAACACATAATCCTACCTCTCTGCCAACACAAGTGATAACACATAATCCTCGCTCTCTGCCAACACAAGGGATTACACATAATCCTCGCTCTCTGCCAACACAAAGGATAACACATAATCCTCGCTCTCTGCCAACACAAGTGATAACACATAATCCTCACTCTCTGCCAACACAAGTGATAACACATAATCCTCGCTCTCTGCCAACACAAGTGATAACACATAATCCTCACTCTCTGCCAACACAAGTGATAACACATAATCCTCACTCTCTGCCAACACAAGTGATAACACACAATCCTCGCTCTCTGCCAACACAAGTGATAACACATAATCCTCGCTCTCTGCCAACACAAGGGATAACACATAATCCTCGCTCTCTGCCAACAAAAGTGATAACACATAATCCTCGATCTCTGCCAACACAAGTGATAACACATAATCCTCGCTCTGCAAACACAAGTGATAACACATATTCGTATAAAACAATGATTATCACACTTTGCATTACTTGCTTTGTTTGTTTAACGCCGCACTTAGCATTCCATTATGACGAATCCGGACAAACATATCCAGTGACTGATATCATGAGCATAGTAACGATTATATGTATCAACCTAGTCAGCGACCCTGACCATGACAAGCTTGGCTTCTGGACACTTATTCTAAACCAGATCTCAGGGAACACACGGTTTGTTAACAGATGAAGCTTTTAATTCTGCTTCTGTGGGTTCAGGTTTCTAAGCTTACATGCAGCCTGGTCAACCACAAAACTACTTTGACAAATGAAAACATTATCATTTGATGCTACAGTTTCTGATGCAGGGCTCTTTACATATCCAACATGTTTAGGTTTTTAATGCTAGATATTCACAACCTCAAAATGAGAAGCTTCTTGATTAAAGAACATAGGACAATCACTCTCCTACCCAGAGTTTCATGCGGCTAGCCAGCATAGTACCTCTGCCACTGGCCAGAAAGGTGTGATGATTCGTCACATCTTGCACCGTCCATTCAATATAATCTACATATTTCTTAACTCCTATATTTTTGACGAGTCTACACATCTAATTAAACGTCTTTGATAAAATGGTTTAGTTTTCCTGAGAAAATATCCTAAAGCATGTAACACTATTTCGATTTGCGTAGCGATCCTTTGTTTACATAGGTTGTACGGCTCCACGTGCTGTCATAGAAGCCGACGGAGAGCAAACGATGAACCAGTTTGATATCTAAATATGTACTGTCATCTAAATATGTACCTGACTGTCGCAGTTATAGAAGAATATATATGTAACAATGTAAAACATTGTGAAGAGCGCACCGAAAAGCTTGGGTAAGGCAAGTCTCTTCTTATTATAAATATGCGCACTTGTTTACAAACAAGAGAAAAGTCCGGTCACGTGATATGCAAATTAGCCTGTGGCAGTGATGTTATGCTAAGTCATCACTGCGCCTGAGTGTGATAGGACAATATGACAGAACTTACGGCTCTTGTCGCAGTGGCTTCTGTTAAATCCATAGTTGCAGATATTCATTGTGTGTTCCTGCTTGGTTCCGTGCCATAGATACCTCTCTACAACAACGTTAGGGTTCTGGTTCTCCAACTGGTTCTTCTTAGCATGGAACTGCTGGTACAGGACGTTATTCTGGACTCGGTCAATCTACAACACGAACATCAATACTATTTAAGCTTTCGACAACGTTTGCTCGACATTGTCAGTTGTTTACATTACATGTAGAAAGACAACAGCTATTTGATTGGTCGCTATTTATAGATGGGCCAATTAGTGAGGGGTTAACAAACCATGACTGGTATTATATCTGTGTTGCGCATCTTAAATGCGTTTTCAATTATTCAAGCTTCTTTTAATCGCGAAAATTTGGAGATGGAAAATCTTTAAGTTTATTTCCATTGGCTTGAATTGATACGATACGCAACATGATTATGATGTATTTGGTAAATACGCATTGGTATTTTGAAATAGCGTAAACGTAAATATTTAGTGTTTTTTCATACACTGGCATGTATTTTTCTTGCCTATTTCAACTTTTCTACAGCGTATCATACGCACATACGCAGCTTATCTGGAGCTATGCCGACTACTACAACAATATGTGGAGGCCTTATTGTTACAGTGGTGCCAGTCTAGATCTCTTAACCCGGGAATGTGTCTTTAAAGATATTTCACGGTTTAATTGTAGCGCCGAAAGGAAGCATTACAATTCTCAAACCAAATCTGTTACAGAGCATTTATATTACAACCATTTGATGGCTTGTCGATTAACGCCGTTCTCAGAAATATTGCAGCTATATGACGGCGGTCTGTAAATAATGGAGCCTGGACCAGACAGTCAAGTGATTAACAGCATGAACATCGATCTGCACAATTGGGAACCGATGACATGTGTCAACAATGTCAGCGAGCCTGACCACCCGATCCCGTTAGTCGCCTCTTACGACAAGCATGGGCTACTGAAGACTGATTCTAACCTGGACCTTCATGGGTCTTTCCAACCATACGCGACCTATGATACATGAAGAATCTTTGCGTTCATGTGAAGAAAAGTTCATTTTCTCCCAGTCCATTTGACTTACCCTAATGACCTGGAGTGTTCCTCCACCAAACGAGTCTGTGATAGTTTTCAAAACGCTCTGATACTCGGGAGTCCCTGCAGCCACCTGTTTGACCGAAACTTCATCACCTGCCTGTTCCCACGTGTCGGGGACTTTCGAAGAGGAACCTGTGGTAGTTAAAAAAGATAGAGTCATCAATGTCCTGCAAACCTGAGCATCGATCTACGCAACTGGGTTACGATGACGTGTGTCAACTAAGTCAGCGAGCCTGACCACCCGATCCCGTCAGTCGCTTCCTGCGAGAAACATAGGTTGCTGGAGACCAATTCTAACCCGAATCTTCACGGGCATGAGCACAAGTGTTGGGTTGGTAGCTTCAGGATACCACAGTAGATACTTTGTGTTAGAATCCCATTACACAGAACCGTTAAATATTTTCAACTTGTTTTCTCGGGAAGTGATTTAATGTACCCAGGAAAAAGTGACATATGCAAGAAATTGCAATCGTCTATTTCTATGACACCCGCATGTAAACAACAATACACAATTTATAGGCAAACGTACAACGATCACATATAATGATATAGTATGGGTTCCTTTTCAACATTGTGACTGTAGGAAATTGTAGAGAACCATTTTTAAACGTCACACCCACCTTTCACAAAATCTTTTCTAATAATCTTCACTTGGTCTTGGTCATCGTCAACAGGATATTCAACCCAGTCATTGAAATCGAACACGACACCATCATGTTCAACTTTCTTCGTCTGCCCTTTCTTGAAGGCTTTCTCCAGCACCGCATTCGTCAGAAGGTCATACTTGGTCATGACGTTATTTGCCGTCTCTTCGTCTGTCTCAATATAATACCACTGGACCACCTTCTGTAGCTCCTCAGCATACTGTTGTTCGTTGATTTCCTTGTCAACTTCTCGGATCATCTGGTAGATAGAGTTACACGCATCCGATACGTTGGACAAAAGGCCGGTTACCCTGATGCGACCCATATGCCTATTCACATTCATTTGTACTCCATGCTGATGTTGGAGTTTGTTCAATTTGTCAATCTGAAACGAAAAGAAGAGTAGATGAATGTATGGTTGGCATTGTATATATTTTATATTCCAACCATCATCAGATGCTAGTTTTAACTTCTTAGAAGGCATATATAAGTTGGAAATATATATTATGAAGTTAGTCTACATTGAAACAAACTGACATGGGGTGTGATACAGTATCTGACAAAAGATGCGATAGAATATAACAACGAAAAATACAATGGCTATTAATAGTAACTGCTGGTTACTCTTTAGATACACCGTTAAAACGCACGTGCAAGGAAACATAATATTAAACTACTCTACCCCTATAAATAATTCAGTTTACAACCCGTAAATCAAAACCTGGCCGACGGTACATTTGCGAGCACTATACATGTGCTCGTTTGGTTTACGCGTAAACGTCTACTGTATCCCTTCCAACGTTGGATTAAATCTCAAATCAGGCTGATACGGTCTAAAGTTACTGTTCAAAGCGGGGTTAAGCAAAAATCACTCACTCACTCATTCAAGTGAAGAACTGATAAAATATACCTGCTCTTGACTCCATTTCTTTAGGGAGGCCTCTTTGATAACTTTACACTGTTCTTCCTTATCCAACTCGCTGTATATCATGTCAACAGCTTTTTGAACATTTGTTGGTTGATCTGTATAGAACCAGAGAGACATCTCAGAAGGTTTGGAGTTGCTGTCTGAAGGTTTGGAGGTGCTGTGTGAGCTGAAATCTGGTTCATGCGGTTGACCATGTGCTGGAACATCGGTTTTCTTGCCAGATAACCAATTTTTAATTCCCCCAAAGAATCCAGATATGGGATTGCCAGATACAGGTGCTTGGGTTGGATTATCCCTCTTTTCCTTGTTGGCTTTCAGATTCTCCCTGTACAGTTCCATTTGAAGCTCTCTCTCGGCATCGATCTCTGGAGAAAAACATCAACCAATATATTCACACTTAGAAGCATCCAGTGCCTTTTCGATAACCTGTAAATTAACCAGACAATCATGTGACAAACCTTAAAATCCGTTGAAACGAGAGCGCATTTCATGATTTCTTGAAAATAGAAATATAACGTCCACTGTGTAAAGTAAAGAAGAAGAATCAAAAGAAACAACATACAAGAAATATGCTCGTTTTGCAGCACAATGGGATGGAGGCGCACATGTCGGGCGACCATTTTTACTGTAGTTGTAGCTTCAGTCGTTTAAGACCCGTGAAGGTCCGGGTTAGAATTATCTTCAGCGAGCCATGCTTGTCGTAAGAGGCGACTGACGGGATCGGGTGGTCAGGTTCGCTGGCTTGCTTGACACATGTCATCGGTTCCCCATTGCGCAGATCGATGCTCATGATGTTGATCACTGGATCGTCTGGTCCAGACTCGATTATTTACAGACCGCCGCCATTTAGCTGGAATATTGCTGAGTGCGGCGTACAACTAAACTCACTCACTCACTTTAAACCCTTAAGAACTCACAAAGACACTCTTTCTGTTACAGCCAACATGTGAGAGTAAGTAATATTCGTACCATTCTGAGAGTCAGCAACCTTTCCACCGAGAGATTCCACATACTTTTTGTTCTCTGCCTCGAAAACCTAAAAAAAGCAACAAAGAGGCTGTATTTCAGATAGGTTTAGTTTGGAGTTTGTCACAACAATGTATCACCGCGAAACAGGGAGACTGGTAATTCAAACTGTACAAATGTATGGTTTTATCAAACAATATTTATATCAACATTGGAAATACACAGAAACATTGTAGTATTTACAAACAGAAAGAAATACTGAAACATGAGCTGTAAACATCATATAGATATCTGAATATCACACAATACGTGTCTAACAGAACAAATGACACTCTTGAAACTTTACTGATTCAGGTGAGGAACCGAACCCGGGGCTTGGACGTGTTGAGCGAACGCTTTAACCACTAAGCTACACCAACGCCGTATAACAGGAAACATCGTTAAATGAAACAGGTTATAGGTATTTTAGTATAAAGCAGAGATTTTTTACGTCATAGTTCAATGAAAAACACCCAAAACAACAAGAACAACTTCTAACGTCTTTAATCGTGAAGAAACATGTACCCGCCATTTCTGTGCTTGTCTCTCACCTTGCAACTCTCTTTATCTCCAGGGTAGACAATGAACAGGACATCTCTGATGGGAGTGTCGGTATTGTCCTTCCCAAACTGGATCACCGTTTCATACATAACCTTGGCAACCAGAGTTCTGGCATAGCCAAGATTTCCTGTTCCAAGAGCAGGTATGGCCATGGACCTCCAGCCTCCATTGTGGACCTTCAGGAGCAGGGCGTTCAAAGTGTCAATCAGTGTCTGGAAATACAACACCCTGTATGACCAACATACAAATCAGCATGGCGGACATACAAAAACTCTCTTGGTTTACCTACCTGTGTCCCTGTACCATCATCCCAGTTGGGCAAAACACAGTGATAAATCTGTTCAACACACTGCATGTCTCCTCCCTTCGTTACTGCTATGTCACCCAATTGTATTCCATCCGGGTACTTCTCTTTGCACTCAGCTTGAATGGACGGGCCTGTTAAGGTAATTAAAAAGACGATACATATTTTGTTTACAGTATTGTTAACAACCTCAGGATATTTGTACTCTGAGGTAAAATATATAATATTTCCAGCGATCTATCAGAGCTATATGTATATAGTTTCATCATTTTCACTTCTTCGTTCATCATAACATGAAAGAGTGAGTGAGTGAGTGAGTGAGTGAGTGAGTGAGTGAGTGGGGGTTTACGCCGCTTTATTACAGCAAAATTGCAGGAATATTACGGACACCAGAAATGGGCTTCACACATTGTACCCATGTGGGGGAATCGAACGAAGGTCCTTGGCGTGACGAGCCGACACTTTAACCACTAGGCTACCCCAACGCTCCATAGAAGGAGAAGCGGTGGCGTAGCCCAGTGGTTAAAGCTTTCGCTCGCTACGCCGAAGACCCGGGTTCGATTCCCTACATAGGCACATTGCGGGAAGCCCACTCTGGTGTCCCGAGCCGTGATATTGCTGGAATATTGCTTACCGTACTCACTCACTCCCATAAAAGGAAAGAGCATTAAATGAATTAGATCATAGGTATTTTAGTATGGCATCATGCATACATTTTACGACAATCGTTTATCATTACCTGCATGTTTCAGAAGTGATTTCGACACCATGCCACGATCAAGATCCAGGTTGGTGTTAGATGAGCTTACGATGACGTCAGCCTGGAAGAAAACAACTTTGAATAAATTCGGTTATAACTAACTCAAAGGGACTACTAGTTTTAGTTCGTTATAACCGTAGTTCGTTGTACCACAGGCAAACTAAAGCGCAAATAGGGTTGCGCAACAGAGAGAAAATGACCAGTCTTTCGCTCGCATATATAGAAAGACTGGTCACTTTCTCTTTGTTGCGCAACCCTATTTGTGCGCTACAGTTTGCCCGTGGTTGTACGCAAGTCCATTAAAATATACAGCATTTGGTCGAGATAAAGAAACAGTTCGTTATATCCGTCTGTTCGCCATAAGCGTATTCATTATAAACGTGGTTTACTGTATTCCTTGAATGATATACAGTTAACACAGTATCATTATCACTTTGTATTTTCTTAGCTGAAAACACACAAATTCCTATCTTAAATAAATGAAGTGAAGTCAAAACTCATTATATTCACTTTTAGGCATTAATGTCTTTGAAAATTAACGAGGGAGTGTTTGTTTAACGCCGATCTGTACACTATTTCAGTTACTTTACGGCGTGTCAGTTTGAAATGGGAGGAAAGCCCGAAGTAACGTTGGTCTTAAACGTTACCACTGCAGTGAAACCCACAAAGGTGTGTTACTGACGTGACCTAGAAACTTAGTAATGGTGGTCTCTGTAAGGTACAAGGGAAACAACTCTGCACAAGTCATCCATCCACACACCGACCCACATCCCCACCAGCCTTGTTGTGTATTATGTTATAAATTAATATATTGCAGTATAAGTGTACTGCGACCTTTTATCTTTCTGAAATGTAACAGCACTGAATCTGACGACCAATAAGGTTTTGAATCATGATTCACTGTAAATCATTCATAATGTTATTTCTTGACTTGGTCGAGGGAAATAGAGAAACATATATAAACAACGTCTATCCAAGAAGATAGGAAACATATATGCTTACCTCCTCGACTCCCATATCCGCTTTCACCAACAATATTCGAGGTTTGGGCATATTGGAAACAGGTGCTTCAGCAACCGGTGCAGCTGCTGCAGCTGGTATCTCCTCGTTTTCAGGTGGAACCATTGCCGACAGATTCAGCTGGGACTGACTTGCTGTAAAGAGATATTATGGGTGAGTTTAAATCGAACGTCGTGTTGGCATTATGTAGCCACGTCGTTGGAGTGTTTCAACCTTAACACACTTATCAATTATTTTTCTGATCGTATCATATTTATTACTTAACCATACTGGGTTTTTTTTCTAATTTTCTTTTGAGGAATTTGAACATATTACCATGAACTACAATGTTTGCTCATAGCAACCATCGCGGACGTTATAACATTTATACACCTTTTATCATATTAGATGAACACCTTTAACACCGCATCTAACCAATAAAATGAAGAGCTCACGCAAATTTGGCCTTTGGTAATAAAAAACAGGACATTGGATTCGTACCGCCAAGAGGGTGTCCTCGTCGTCTACGGACACGAAGGGAGGGCATTCGCACATGTTCTTCTTCCTTCTGGTTTGCAAAAACACGTTCCTCCCCAAACAAAGCGACAGACTGTTTCCATGCCGGCTGACAATCCGTCCAATCTTCCAAACAAATATAAACATCCTGGACATTGTTGCTGTTGCTGTAGAAGCTTCTTATTCCTTCGAAGATGAACTTGATCCTTTCATCGAAAGACATTGACCTGTGTGTGACTGTAGTGTTGAAAGCAGGGAGTGCCACTGAGGTCAAACGTTGCTGATCAGATTCATCCAGACTAGCAATGACAACTGCTTTGATAATTTCCTGCACATCATACGTGCTGTTTGTGTCAGGACCAACTGCATGGATAAGCCGCTTGCAGGGAAGTCGCCCGGCTGGTGTTGCCATTACATCTCCTTCCATGCTGCATCTTCCGGAGGATCTGACTGTAGCCATTACACTTTCTCCAGCTGTAACATTACCACAATACCACATTTCGTCACAATTCTAAAGACATAAATCGGACATAACCATTATAATCATTTACCAATCAAATGCGGAAATAGCGTCTCGCGAAATACAGCCATCATATCTGTTTAAAGTAAATATATATTATGCAATAAACCACACATAACGTTCCAGGTTAGAACTGATTTTCGGCTACCCATAATTGCCAAAAGAGACCACTAAGGGATTGGGTGGTCAGGCTCAATGACATTGTTGGAGTCCTAATTGTGTAGCTCTGTATTCTCTCTGTATCAGTTTCAGGGTTGTTTCGCCGAGACTCGATTACTTACAGACCATCGTCCCGAGCAATAGACAAATATACATTAAAATGTGACTAAAAAGAATACCTTTTTCAATGACAGCTGCAGCTTGTTTTGAATCTGGGCTCAGGTCTTTCTTCAACACAACCACCACTGCCTCAACATCAGACGCCAATCGAACCATACTGCCAACCACAACATGGATCTTCTTCATCATGTCTGGCCATGGAGCACAATCAAAAGCCAGTTCGTATTTCATCTCTGAGACATCATCAGATGACGGGCGAGTATTTGTCGCCTCATCAGAATCGGCACCGCTCCTTGAGATGACACATTTTGCATTCTTCTCTACTTGTTGTATGACATCTCCTGAGTGAAGGAAGTCATATATACCTGGTCGTTGCAGAACACGCTTTTGACATGAAATCGTGTCAGTGATACCCTTGAGAAACATCTTAGCTTGAGTGACACCCTTTTGGGTAGACTTCAGTGTTACAGAAAACTGTGGACTTTCCTTGCAAACGAAGCGGACACTGAACTGTTTCAGGTCCTGGGTGATGCTGTCTAAGTTCGCTCTGCAGTGCATAGAAAGAAACTTTAGAATGGATTGACTATAAGTCATTTCCTCTGTGTAGATGGTATTAACTTGAAGGAAGTTGGTTATTGCCGATTGGGAATAGCTGTAATCTTCACAGACAGTTGTTATGCAGAGACGTTTCCTGTCCACCAGAGGAGTGATGATCAATCTGTCTTGTCGATCTCGTTTTAGGTTTTCAACTTCTTCAACAAAACCTTGTGACGTCAGCAGAGGCGTTTGCTCACTGTCAAGCTTCACAGTTCCTTCCTTAACTGAGGTTTTCAAGAACTGTACCAATGTCTCCAAACCTGAACTGCTGGTGTAGTATATGATGATGCCGTCCATTCCAGGCTCCCAGGATCCTTCAGCAGCCATGTTCTGTTGCTCCAGTTTCTGTAGGAGGTATTCCTGTACAGTGGGACGCTTGAGTAGCTCTGTCATATTCCCTGAAAAGCTTGTTATTGTTTGTGATGAAATTTCATTTAGTTCACTATACATCTGCATTTGTGCATTCTGTACTTCTTCTGCTGGGCCGACAAATACAATCTCGCCTGCTTCAATGTCGATGGTTACCCTAATATATTCTTGGGTAAACTTGTTCAGAAAACCTTTTGCTTCTAAAATACGAAGTTTTGGTCCAGCTACCCTTTTCTCTCAGTTACTTGATTTTTACGTCTTTCATTTTCTGCCTGTATGTCTTTAACAACTTCGTTCATCTTTCTGATGGTTTCAGCTACCAGTTCCTTCGACCCAACTGCAACGACTCGACAGTCAGACTCCTCTGTAAAAACTTTCGGATCTCCCCCTTCAAATTCTCTCACTTTAGACTCCACATCGGGCCACACTTCAGTATTGACATCAATCATCTGCACCACGATTGTGTCCAGCTGTTTCTCCATTGCCGTTACTACATCTCTTGACCAAGTTCGACTGATGGTTCTGGTTTGCTCAGCGGTAAAAGTTGGGGTGAGTGTGATTTCCTTTTTGCCAACATCTATTTCAACGTCACTGTGTATTTTGGAAAGTTCATCTTTGATTTCTTCCAGTCTGGACCTATTTGCTACAAGATATTTAATCTTGTAGACATCAACCTTGATGTGTTCTGGATCTGGAATCTTTGTAGAAGGCGGTTCTTTGGAGCCACCTGACTCTCCAAGACACTCAAAATGCAGGCTCACATCCACAGTTGTTCCACTCAAAGTATGAGGACGCTCTGATACCGAGTCAGCATCTGGAATTAGCATTGTAACTCAGAAAACAAATATAAACAAATATATGACTATACACCTAATGAGCATAATTTGAAAAAAAGCCTCAAAATGTAATAAGCGAGTGAGTTGGCTGTTACGCTGCTGTTAGCAACATTTCAGCGATATCACGGCGGGAGACACAAGAATTGAACTTCACACATTGTGCCCATGCGGGGATTCGAACACGGGTCTTCAGAGTGACGAGCGAACGCTTTACTCATTAGGCTTCGCCACTGCCACAAGGTGAGGTGAGGTGAAATTGGGTTTAACGTCGTGCATGAGAACATTTCGCTCATATGACGACGTGCATGCGTGTGTATGTGTATGTGCACCTGCTTGTACTAGCCCAGACTTCAGCTGGTTTTATAGTGCTAGCCCACTGAGATACCATGCCGCAGTGAAGCATGAATACCCCACTCCGACACATTATACTGACTCCAAGCCGACCAGTCCTTGTTGTACCCATTATTGCCGAGCGCCAGGCAGGTACCAACAAGTACCATGATATTTTAAAGTCTTTTGGTATGACGCGGTCGGGGATCGAACCCGCGACCTTCCGCTCTCCGGGCGGAAGCTCTAACCACTACACCACAGAGGCGGTCGCCACTGCCACAAAAATTAAATGACATCACGTGTAGTACCTGAACTTTTCTTGAATCTGACAACAGCTGACCGTTCTGGTGTATTCAAGATCACCTCCTCTATTTCCCCACCACCACTTCTTTTGCTGTTTTCGAAATACATGGACACAGCATCCTCGGTTGAATTCTCTGGAATGTTTCTTACTGTGATACTGGTAGTCTGTGGAACTTCTCTGACCTGTACAGTTGCTCTCATAAACTCCTTTTCCTGACTGATTCACTGAGCCTTGTAAAATCTGAAAGAGCATTTTCCATGTCACTGAGCAATACATGTCATTTGGCACTAGCAGTTAAGGAATACATTATACATCTCAAACCTTGTTAATGTATTGATGAAATACCTTTGAATGGCTCCGAAAAAAACACAAGGATATCCCCTTCTTCTTCCCCATAAAGGAACTGATGCACGGTTTCCTGTGTCTTGGCCTCTACAAAGTTTCTGATTTTGTCTTCAGACGCCCCGTCAGGGACTCCAGAGAGAAGGACTTTGTCCCGATACATCACTGCCGGTACCGACACCTTCACCTGCAACTCTTGACCACCAAGCTTGTGCTGACGAGCGGCAACTTTTTCGGCCACTATAACATGAAAATATACATACGTATCAGTGGCTTTGTTGAACATTTATTTACGTACCATGTTATATATATGTTTCATCAGACGAACACTTGCTGTGCCTTTGCATGTGTTTGTGACGGGTGCTATTCATGGAGCAGGATACAGTCATCACTTAATTTCGTCAGTTGATATCCATTAATCCACCAAAGCATGCTTAAGATTTAGTTGTAATGCTGTGAGATTTCCTAAGATTGTAGAGAGGCATTTTTGCAGCTAAATATGTTTTTGTACATTTTACGTACAATGTTTACTCAGAAAATTAGAAAACATAAATACGTTCCAGTCTTACCTTGATGATTTTCAAATGTCAGGGTGATAACACCCTTTTTGTCATCACGCGTGAAACTTTGTAGGGATCCTCCACCAGATTTACGGCCATTTTCAAAGTACAGAGTGATTGCGTCGTCTGAGGAAGTCTTACAGTACCCACGGATCTCAACGGCAGCTGAAGGCTTTGTGTCCTCTTCGTCAGAGCTGTTCGTGGGTGTAGAATCCCCAAGCTCCTCCTCCCCGGCTTTTACAACTTTCAACTGCTCCCCCTGGATACTGTGTGATGGACGCTTAAGTATCCTCTCAAAAACTGTCAACATAAGACTAAATATACCGGACCCACAGAGCTTTGAGCAAAAGAAAAGCGATTAAATGGATGTAATACTTCATAATATACTGGACAAAAAAAGTTAGGGATAAATGTAAATTTTGAAATTATGAATAATGATCTATTTATTCATTGAAACACTGATAAAATATCAATCATAAAAATACCAATATCCCTAACTTATTTTGTCCAGTATATTTCACACAACAAACGAAACAGGCCATTGCTTTGATAATATTTGGATGTGGAAAGAATAGCTCAAACATAATAAAATGAAACAATTTAAAGTGCGTCCACGTATCTTTGGTGCTTATAGCAACAGGTGACTAACGGGATCGGGTGGTTGGGTGCTTATAGCTACAGGTGACTAACGGGATCGGGTGGTTGGGTGCTTACATCAACAGGTGACTAACGGGATCGGGTGGTTGAACAGCAACAGGTTACTAACGGGATCGGGTGGTTGGGTGCTTACATCAACAGGTGACTAACGGGATCGGGTGGTTGAACAGCAACAGGTGACTAACGGGATCTAGTGGTTGGGTGCTTATAGCAACAGGTGACTAACGGGATCGGGTGGTTGGGTGCTTATAGCAACAGGTGACTAACGGGATCGGGCGGTTGGGTGCTTATAGCAACAGGTGACTAACGGGATCGGGTGGTCAAGCTCGCTGACTTGGTTGACATATGTCATCCTATCCCGAATATATCACCCTATTGTATAGATCGATACTCAGGGTGTCAATCACTTGATTGTCTGGTCAAGACTAGATTACAGACCGCCGTCGTACAGCTGGAATATTGGCGAGAGCGGCGTTAAATATTAACAAACACACGTTATATAAGGGTTGTAGGTAGCTTACAGGGTAAAGCTCTGGGTTCCATTACTAACAGTGGTACAATGTGTGAAACCTACTGTTGGCGTCCTATCATTAGTGCTGAAATATCCAGATAACAGAAATGTTTTCTTTCGGAAGAAACATCCTACCTTCCTCAGTTTTGAGCGTGATATACACGATGCCTTTTTCTTTGTTGAATTCCTTGTGCTCTATTTCACCACCACCAGATTTCTTCTTGGATTCAAAGTACATCTCGACGGTATCCACATCGAGTTTGGAAATGCCAGTGACAGCAATGGTTCTAGGCTTCTTCTGTCTCGGCTTGCCAAGCATCACCGTGACCTCACTGCCAGCAACAGTGTGTGACCTTGCCGCGACTCTCTGTGCAACTGGAAGAGACATTGACTCAGGAGGTTTTATATCCTTTAAAGGTTATATATTCACCTTTCAAATGTACAGTTTGTCTTTGCCACAGATACTATTGAAGTTGTGTAGTATTCACGAAATATGCAAATATCAATATTATAACATAAATGAAAATTTGTTGATAATCTGTAATCATCAGCTATTAAGGGACGCATTACCATTAGCATGGACCCATGAAGACCCGGGTCATAATTGGTCTTCAGTAACCCATGCTTATCGTAAGAGGCGACTAACGATATCGGGTGGTCAGGCTCGCTGACTCGGTTGACACATGTCATCGGTTCCCAATTGCGTAGATCGATGTTCATGCTGTTCATCACTGGATTGTCTGGTCCAAGCTCCATTATTTACAGACCGCCGACATATAGCTGGAATATTGCTGAGTGCGGCGTAAAATTAAACTCACTCACTCACCCTTGTAAACGGCAATGTTATCGCCTCATTCTATGAATCGAATGCGTCTTTTAACGATCTATATTTTCTTGTATACAACGGATGATCAGGCTCGCTGACTTGGTTGACACATGTCATCGTATCCCAAATGTGTAGATCGATTCTTTTACCGTTGATCACTGCATTGTCTGGTCCAGACTCGATTATCCACAGAGAGCCGCTATAATCATAATGCTGGATATTGCTGAGTAAGGCGTTAAACACCACCACCACCAACAACAACAATTAGTATCCCGTTTCCTGACGTCGTTCTCATGACATCCTCAAAATGAGTGAGTGAGTGAGTTTAGTTTTACGCCGGACTCAGCAATATTCCAGCTATATGGCGGTGGTCAGTAAATAATCGAGTCTGGACCAGACAATCCAGTGATCAACAGCATGAGCAACGATCTGCGCAACTGGGAACCGATGGCATGTGACAATCAAGCCAGCGAGCCTGACCACCGATCCCGTTAGTCGCCTTTTACGACAAGCATGGGTTACTGAAGGTTCATTCCAACCCGGAGGTCATCATCAAAGTGGATCAGCTAACCCAGTAATGGTCGTATGACTACTAACCAAATGTGAATAGGAAACTCAAAAACGTGAAGTGATTACAATCCCATTACCTCCATCTTCTTTGAAGGTGATACGTGCCTTGCCCTTCTTTAACGCCATCCCCCCTATCTCCCCTCCATCTGACCGCTTGGTACTCTCAAAGTACATTTCCAGTGTGTCCTCACTGATAGAGGAATCAAGGCCAGTCACCACGATGTCAGTGATCTTGGATATGTCGTAGAGAGACACCTTCAAGGTGCGTCCACTGTGATCGTGTGTCGCACTGCTGGCAACCCGTGCTGCATCTGTATACAGTGTATATATGTATTACATCGACTGATAAGTAGTAACTGAATATTATGATGAGTATAACTTGCAGCTGGCAACTCGTGCTGCATCTGTATACAGTGTATATATGTACTATATCGACTGATGAGTATAAATTGCAGCTGGCAACCCGTGCTGCATCTGTATACAGTGTATATATGTACTATATCGACTGATGAGTATAAATTGCTGCTGGCAACCCCAGCTGTAACTGTATACTGTGTATATATGTATTATATCGACTGATGAGTATAAATTGCTGCTGGCAACCCGTGCTGCATCAGTATACAGTGTATATATGTATTATATCGACTGATGAGTATAAATTGCTGCTGGTAACCCGTGCTGCATCTGTATACAGTGTATATATGTATTATATCGACTGATGAGTATAAATTGCTGCTGGCAACCCGTGCTGTATCTGTATACTGTGTATATATGTATTATATCGACTGATGAGTATAAAATACTGCTGGCCACCCGTGCTGCATCAGTATACAATGTATATATGTATTATATCGACTGATGAGTATAAATTGCTGCTTGTAACCCGTGCTGCATCTGTATACAGTGTATATATGTCTTATATCGACTGATGAGTATAAATCGCTGCTGGCCACCTGTGCTGCATCTGTATACAGTGTATATATGTATTATATCGACTGATGAGTATAAATTGTTTAATACAGACCGCCGCCATAGGTAGAATACTGATGAGTGCGGTGTTAAACAACAAACCAACCAATCATCGTTAATACATTAATAAAATAAATATTGATAAATGGATTATCCAAATATTATCAGTTTAGAAGTAGTTCTTGGTATTCTATTCTGTGACTATTTCATTGCATGTATATACCATTCACACTGTCGAAGCTTCATCCTACCTTGATGATCTCTGAATATTAGAAGTGCTGTGCCGTCATCTAAGTTGAGTTGAATATCTTCCATGTCACCTCCACCTGACCGTTTTTTGCTCTCAAAATACATTTCCAGGGTGTCCTTTGACATGCTCTTGTGAATTCCCTCAACCAATACAGTCTTAGGTGGATCTGGAGGCAAACAATACAACCTGTAAAGTTCAAGTCACCGTAGGTATATGGATTTTAGTACAGCTTCGTCCATAATTTGACGTTGACATAAAACACGAAACAGGGACTGGAGTGAGTGAGTTTAGTTTTACGCCGCACTCAGCAATATTCCAGCTATATGGCGGCGGTTTGTAAATAATCGAGTCTGGACCGGACAATCAAGTGATCAACAGCACGAGCATTGATCTGCGCAATAGGGATACATGGACATGTCAACCAAGTCAGTGTGCCTGACCACCTCTTAAGACAAGCATGAGTTACTGAAAACCAATTCTAACCCGGACTTCCACGGGTACAAATATGGGAAA